GGGGCTGAGCCCAGGAGATCCTCTTTGCCTGAGTCACAGGCTCTGATTTTCTGCATCACAAAGTGGGAGGGGAGGGATAAGCACCATGAGCACCCTCTGAACGCCCTGCCCCTCTCCCAGCCCTCAGGCTCGGACAGGAGATGTCTGTCTCGGTCTGAGCCCCCCAGGGATGAGGATGCTTACGGTGCAGATGAAGGTGGGGTCCATCATCTGCACGAAGAGCCGCACAACCGCCGGCTCGTACTGCAGCACCAGCGCTTCACACTGCGGGGCAGAGAGGGGGTGAGCCCGGCRGGGACACCCCGACACCCCACCCGGCCTGGGTGTGCCCCCCTGGGCTGACCTTGCTAGTGAGCGGCATGGGCAGCATGGCGCAGCCCTTCTCCAGCATCTCGCCCAGCTCCTCCAGCGTCTCGTTCTTGAGCAGCTCGTTGTCGAAGTAGGTGATGAGGATCTGGCAGACGTTGCAGAAGGCACCCGAGCTCGCCGCGCTCACCGCCAGCTGCTCCAGCGAGGCAGCGCCTGGGGGACACGGGTGTCAGCGCCCGGCCAGGGGACACCCACCCTGCTGGCAGGGGACACGGGGACCGGCTCACCGGGGTGGCTGTCCCCGCTGYGGGGGCAGCAGTGCAGCATGGTGCACACGGCCGCGGGGTCGGTGGCCTSCAGCAGCATGATGACCACGGCTTTGCCGTACGAGTTGACAAAGTCCTTGCACTGTCCGATGACGCCGTGGGGCAGCATGTAACACACCTTCTCGATGTCGTTCACCAGTTGTTCCTGCCGGGACGGGGCCAAAGAGGGRAATGCTGGTTCTTTGGTGCCCCTTTGCCCCCCTGTCCCAGGTCCCCAGCCCCGATCTCAGTGGCAGGGCTCACCTCCGTCACGTTGTTCTCCAGGAGACTCTCTACTGTCTTCACGGTGAACTGGCACACATCACACAGCGGAGTGTTCCCCACGCTGTCCTGTGGGGACAAAGGGGTGGGATGCGTGCTGATAATTTCCCTCATTATCCCCCCATCATCTATCCCATCCTATTCCCTCATCAACCCCCACGTAAGGCATTCCCAGGCTTGGATAGATGGAAATGCCTGAGGAAATAAAATGCAAAACAAGGCTCCCCCTTCACAGTGTTTGGATCTTAAGGAGCATGGCTGGGGGTCCCCACTTACCCCCAGCGTGCTCAGSGTCTGCATCACCTTCTCTGCAAGCAGCGTGTGGAGGGGCAGTGCCGAGCTGGAGGCACACAGTCCCAGATGGCCACACAGCTCCATCGGGGCCTGGGGAGAGAGATGTGCCATTCAGGCAGGCATTTTCCCCCTAGGAGGGGAACTCTTCACCCCCAGTTTCCCTGTTCAGGGGGATTTCAGCCCAATGGAGCATGGGTTTCACTCACCTCAGCCTGCTACCGGTGGCGGGGCCAGAAAATTGCAAGAAAAAATGAACATAAAATACCATTACAGCAGTGGCAAGCCAGAGAGAAGGAAGGGGGAGGGGAAGTTTGTAAGAATATAAAGCAGTGGGTTTAATTTTAAAAAAGGGAGCATTTGCTGATAAGGCAGTTTGGCTGTGCCACTCGGCCCCCCAGCACCTTGGGCACCCCTGACCCTCTTACCACGTAGTGCAGCAGCTGGGCAGCAGTGTCCGTGTACTCAGCCAGGGAGCGCTTGCACTGAGGGAGAGAGACACAGCATCAGTGTCTGAGAATGGACATCTGCAAAAGATGCTCCCATGCCATGCTGACACTAAGGGGGAAGTGTTCAAGGCCCCAGGGACAGGGTTTGGAGCCCCCTGGGATGGTGGAAGCACCCCTGTCCGTGGCAGAGGCTGAATGACRTGGAYTTWARGSCCCYTYCMMCCCMAARSC